ATCATCTAAAAGTGTGGGAATAGCATGCCAGAATTTGACATATCTTTGAATGATGAATTGGGAATGACGATTTTTCAATAGTAGCTCGTTAAAAAATATGTTCCTTAGGGATATGTTGTAATTTGCCCTTTACAAAAGTTGTCTCAATGTATGCTAATCCTTGATTTGGATTTCATTGAACAATTAAACAATTGTTATATAAAATGTATGATTTTGCTACCAGATTTCAATATCTTTCAGTAAAAGATTCACCAAAAACTATTTCAATATAGAAAATCAAATTGTTGCCAAACTTTTGGAGGGGTGTAAATTGTATGTATGACAAATACAAAAAATGCTTTTATGTGAGGTACACCGATGAAGGGGGAGATTTGTGGATACATAAAAAATCGAACCCAATCGAACACCAATTGCTGGCTACGCCACTGTTAAGGCTTGATTGATTCAAAGGGGTCTCCTGGATGACAAACTTATGGAAGGGAGTGTACTTATCCACGTGGCTGATGTTTTAGACTTCCCGCTACTCTTATTATAATTTTACTTATTTGATGTTTTTCGGATGGCGCTCTTGGCAGAAATAATCTGCAACTTATTATTAGGGGCGTAGTCAGTAATTTCCTTCAAAATTGAGCTAGAAGCTTCAAATAAAAAGCACTTAAAAGCTCTTTTCTTTCTCTATCTAATATTCTCATTCGTTTTGGGAGAGGGTGCGATCGCTACGCCTCTTGGCTACGCCTATGAATATTATGTACTTATCTTGTTAAATTGCACTGTGTGTTGTAATTGGAATGCTGTTAGCCTGAAATAAAAATTATTTATAAAAATTCTCAAGCATACTATCCATAAAACTTGTATAACTTCTACTGCAGTATCTGTACAGACGCTTCAAATCCCAAGTAGCCCGCCAGTCTTGTATGATCATCGGCAGTGTTGGACTCGTGAGTACTCGAGACACACATATAGTGTGATACAATGTCTAAACCAGAAAAAAATATTTAATATATAGTGGATCAATAAATATTTTTTGAATGGATTTTTAGAATTTATCGAGGGTTAATAAATGTCAATAATCGACTTCGTTATCTCATCAAGGGTCAATATTTACTAGGGATAGGGATATAAAGTGAGTATAACAGCCATCCAATTTATCTTAAAGTGCGTCTCAAAAGCAACATTTGTACTCTTTCCAATAATATCTCATTTGGTCATATGTGATCATGAATCACTGCCAGGATTATCATTGTTTTTTCGCACATGGGAGAAAAGGCTAAGTTATGAACTTAATCAACTGATCCTTATTGTGCAATCAGGTTTGTGTAATTGGGGTTGAGGATTAAATTCTGGTCACAACACCATAAAGCCTCGGTCACATTTGCTCTACGGCAGCTGTAGCTTCACAGAATCGGTATAGAATATCTAAGGTACTGCTTATCACTATATGGGTCAATTTATGATAATTGATATTTCAAAAAATACAAAATTCGAAAATTAAAATATTCATATGACTATCTTTTTTTCTTTAATTGTAGAGGAAACACATTATATTTTATAAATTCGTAAGCGGCACCATTGGAACTAAATTGGCATTTCGTTACGTGAGCAATTGTCAAAGGAATAAAAAATTAACATATTTTCATTAATCGTTCAAAATGTCTGGTTTAATTTCAAATAAGATATTATTTAACACATGTGTGTGTGTCAAACAAGCAATAAACATGTTTCCTTGGATATTAGTATTGAATTGCAAAAATTAAAATGTAAATAAGTCAACGTTATCGTTTGAAATTATTAGCCGCAAATTATTTTGAAAGACCCCTATGTCAAAACCGATAACTTAGAAATGGGCAAGATACGTTCATACAATTTTACATATATACAGTTCCTCTCCGATGCCCTCGCTATTTTTTTAGTTCAAACTTCACAAACTATCAATGTAGTATATGGTATAATGCTCGGTTACGGTAAGGCACAACACATAGGTTGGCCTTTCGATTTTACATGCAAGCTTAAACCCCCTAATATTACTTCTCCTACGAAGAAATGTAAAAAAGAAGGATTGATAAGGAGAGCTATTTAGAAGTGTCTAGCTTTTTTTATTCTGTAAGTGATCATCATGGAATTTAGACACATTTTTTAGAATGAGGTGATTTTGACATCCTGAAATATTGTATTTGTATTATCAAAAGTTCGTTTCTACAACGTTTTTTTGTGAAGCAATGAAATTCCATTTTCTATTTTTAAACGTTACCTTTTGCTTAATAAAATAAAAACCTCGTACGAGCAAAATGATATGTGTCTAAGCTAGATGATGAAGTAAAGTATCTTTTAAGATTTTTTAGAATTGGTTCCACTATTCTGGTCATTCTTGTCAGTAGGAGAAATATGTTACTGAGCAAACCTAGAATCTAACTAATTTAGTGAAGAATAGGGCTTTTTAAACAGGAGACTAAATTGGGGGCTCGTGCGATCTTGAATGTCATCCTTTCTATTTGACCTTCAAGATTTGACCTTCCGTGACTTTTTCAAGGTCAAAAAAGGTCAAAAAGATCTTGTTTTCAACTTGCTTCAAATTGACCATTTTTTTCAAATCATGTACAAGTTATCAGAAGTTCAAATCTGACTTTAGATTTGAGATTCGACCTTCATTGACGTTCTCAAGGTCAAAAGGTATTTTTTCAACTTGCTTCAAATTGACCAATTATTTTTTCAAAATCAACAGGAGTTCTTAAAAGTTCAAATTCGGTTATAGATTTGACCTTCAATGACATTCTCAAGGTCATAAAATATTTGACCTTCTCAAGGTCAAAAATGTCATTTTTCAACTTGCTTCAAATTGACCAATTCAGTGTTTCAAAATCAACTACAAGTTCAAATCTGACTTTGGATTTGATATTTCACCTTCAATGACCTTGTCAGGGTCAAAAAAATTTTTTTTCAACTCGCTTCAAATTGACCAATTTTTATTCTTAAAATCATCTACAAGTTCTCAGAAATTCAAATTTGACTTAAGAGTGAACTCATAACATTGTGAGCTACTAGATGGTGACATTTTGTCATGTTAATGCCTTGTTTTCGTCTCCACCCTCTGAATTTTCAGGGTCACCCCAGGTGTTGGTTTAGTTTAATGTTTTATATGTGGGCAGGGGAATGGGTTCGAGACCCCCCCCCCTTTACTAAAAGCTGGCTACGGGCATATTGCTCATATTGCATGTGAAGTATTAAACATTGCAATGGATGCAATCATTTTCATTGGAATCGATATGAAAGTGTTCTGGCACTTAAAATGACTAAGATGTGCAAGCAACAATTATCATTTCTGGTGAAGGCCAAACATTCATCATAGGGAACGACAAACAGCATTTAAAATATAATATCATGAAAAAACACGCAGTGTGGGCAATGGGGGAATGAGAAACATCATTCAAAGTGGTATGGTTATGTGTCGGTCATGAAAATAAAAAGAAAGCATAGCATGTTGAATAGAACTGTAAAGGTTTCATGCATCGCTATTCCCACAAAGTTATAACATGATCATATGTGAAACTGAGAGTGAAATATATTGTTTTTTGGTTTGGCAATGACTCATTCTTTGCTGTAATTTTAATACAAACATAAAAATACGAATACAACTAACTTTTGATTGTACGTTTATATTGCACATGATTTTAAAGTCATTTTGTATCCTCAAACACATACTTAATGAAGTTTTACAATGACAATTCAAATAATTCAAAAGTTGAATAATGATGATCTAAACACTTTTATTAAGCACTTTCATTTCTCAAAATAATAATCTAAAAATATTTTTTCCCAAAGATGATATTTTAATGTTTGAAGGATACAAAATATTGGACAGCCTAATCTAGTCAACTTGAATTCACGACAGAAATACCTACACCCAATCATATATCTCCATTGTCTGCAATCGAAGATGTGTTATCAAAATGTACCTTCTGGCGTAGCTTTCACCAAAATAATACATCAATAGTGTATATTAATATGGCCGATGTGTTGGAGGATACAAATATTTGACAAATTGTATACATATAGTAAAACATACTTAATTTTGTGACCAAGACATATCAAACATCCCGTTTTCAAGAGCTGGTAGCACATACCTTTTATTAGCATGCTCAAAAATATCAACGCAATCGATACATTTTAGGTTAAAGAATTCGAGTTTATATTTGCCGAAAAAATAAAATATTTCTTAATTGTCAAAAAATCCATCATTAAAGTGATCTTTTTTTAAAAGATAAGCAATATTCCAAACAGGTACCTTGTGGTAATGATTGCTTAAAGTCTGGTCAACAAAACATAACACATTGCATGTCCATGAAATCAACATATATGTCGCAGTCTCTAGTACAACAACAGATATTTAAAATATCAATTATCGTAAATTGTCCCATATTTCATGCTACACATTTCTCTCGATTTTGGGAAGCAACGGTCGTCGATTAAATGTGACTGAAGCAATGAATAACAAAAGTTTCACTCTTAGTTTTACCAAGGACAATTTTATGTGTTCATTAGTATCCATGAAGGTTCAGTGAACGACAAACCAAAGGGTTTTTGTGTACATTCGCACCCACATTTCAAGGGTAATTCAGAAAAAGATATCCAGGCTATGTTAAGGGGCATGCATGTAATTTTTCATGAGTCAACTTTCATAAGATGGAAGACAATGATTTTGAACACTTAATTGTGCCACTTCTTTTTCAATAGCTACTGGTCATATGCACTGATTTTTGCAATCTCTAAAGCTTTGTACAGAGCGGACTTTGGCCTATTGTGCAAAAGTAATGATTATTCAGTGGTCCGTCGTCTCATATGAATAAATGACACATCATATTGGAAAGAAGAGACACTTGGCTCAAATGGTAAACTAAATGAAATTGATTTTGGGACCACTAATTTTATATTTTACAATATTTTGCGACAGACTGTATACTGACTTGGGCTGGGATAAGAATTCAAATCTGTGATTGTTGATTTAGGTGGCCATTGGTGGCGTCGTCATGTATGCTCCTGCAATAGCTCTAGAGGCAGGTAAGAGGGTAATCATTGTAATTTTGCTATTTTCCTATTACATTTCGATATATCACACTCTAGTAGACTAGTAGTAGTACTAGTAGTATATCTGCAGTATGTCACTCAACATTTCAGTAACTGGTTTATCACACTCTCTAGACTAGTAGTAGTACTAGTAGTATATCTGCAGTATGTCACTCAACATTTCAGTAACTGGTCTATCACACTCTCTAGACTAGTAGTAGTACTAGTAGTATATCTGCATTATGTCACTCAACATTACAGTAACTGGTCTATCACACTCTCTAGACTAGTAGTAGTACTAGTAGTTTATCTGCAGTATGTCACTCAACATTTCAGTAACTGGTCTTTCGACGTGGGTCTCTATTTTAATTATGGCAGCAGTAGCAACATTCTATACAACACTGGTATGTCAGGCTCTATTAAAGCACATATTATATCTTGCAATCTCGTTTCTGGTTGAACTATATTGTATTCTATGTATAAAAATAATTTAAGCACACAAAGTAATGAATTGCAAGTGATTTAAGGGAATCCTGTCTTGTATGCGTTTTTCATGTATCCAGATAAAAAATTTAAGGTATAGCAATTACTAAAGACGAGCTGAGAGTATCTTTCTTAGAACACTATTGTTTTGCTCAAATATGTTTGATATGTGTCTATTTTCTAAAAGAGCAAAGTTCTGACTTTTTCTATTATATAGTAGCCCGGACAGAATTGTTCAAGGGTCACTTTTCTTTAGTAACTTTTTTAATTTTCAGTATTATCAATATCTGATTGCATATTTGAAATCTAGAGTATAATTCTGACACAAAAAATATTTAATGAGAAACTTCTAATTTATTGACATTGCAGGCGTTTATAGTATAACTGACGCTTTGATTAAACACAAGAGAGTGCTATGCTACGATGTTCCTGCTTGCCTTTTAACTCACTCAGTCAGTTTGTCATGTTGGCACCAACCTTTACATTCTTCGATGGTTTGAACACCACTATAGCCAGAGCGGTCGACCTTTAAGCGCTACCTGCTGTACGCACTACTCTGCCCTTGTTGGTAAAGGGATGGTGAACAAACCCTCGGTCAATGTATTAGCAATTGTCAAATAAGTCATTGGTTAATGTTGTCTCCCCTGTGCCCATTTGTCATTTCTCCTCAGCCAGAGCCAGCGGGAGGCTTCATTTTCTGCAGATCCAACTGCTCTGTTCGCTCTCTTGAGTCATGAGGGTGGGAGTCCTACATTCTTGAACATTCGGTTGAGAGATGTTGATGGAAATCCTCTACAACCTACTTCAACGGGATAGTAATGAACTTTCCACCCTTTGGCCTCTTTCTCCTCAACCAGATCTTGGTACTTTGCGATTTTGAGTTGGTGTGCTACCTCAATGCGATCTTCCCAAGGTACTGTCAGTTCTATCATGACAGCAATTCTTTTATCCTCTGAAAATAAAAGCATATCTGGTCTTTGGTTTGTTGTCGTGATACAGCTGGGAAATGTGAGTCTTTGGTGTAGATCTACTCTCAGCTCCCAGTCCTGTGCTTGTTGTAAGATGCCATATCTTCCTCGAGAGGTGTGCCTGCTACCGCTAGGCAAAACCTTCCCTTTGGGATTTGCGTTAGCACCCACAAAATGTTTCTCTAAGGGTTGCAGAGCTCAGAGCTCCACAGTGGATACATGATGCATCTTCATTAAAACCCCAGGTAGTGAGATTGGCAGGAGATGGTAAAAGATCAGATATTGCTCTTAATAAGAAGCTAATCTTGCCCTGCTCCATATCCCATATGTCTTTCCATGAGAGCTGTCGATCGAGTGTAGACTCCCAGTGGGTCCATGCACCTTGTTTGACTAATTGTGCTAACCTCACCTGTCGACCCTCTTCCTCTGATCGCCTTATCTCCTTTACTACAAGCTTCCTTCTTGTATCTTTCCACCTGGATGTGCCATAGTTTCCAAGGCCCATCCTACCTTTACAAACGACACCTACTATGTCCTTATGACGGAGTTGGCTTTCAGCAATACCGATTGCCTGTTGAGGATTCCATCCCCTCCCATTCGATATTGTTTCTCCCGAGCTAGTAACTTTATTGTCCTTTGAAGAGCGTAGAGTGGTTACTGCTCTTACTTTGGCTGCTTTGTACTCTTCAAGTACTGAAGTTACCGGGAGGCTGAGCTTGGGAGATTTACTGAATAGAATACTGACGCAAATACATATTAATTCATCATCTTACTTCATATTTGTTCAAAACGGCGTAATATTTCGGTAAATTTGAATGTTCAGTTGAACATTAATTTTTAAAGATTGGCATAAGCCTATAGGGTCATGCTGCCACCATTACAATCCTGATAGAATACACCAACTGACCAATCATAAAAAAACAAGAAGTCAAACTCACCCAAGGTTCATGAACTCAACTCTATTGAAATGTTTGGGTTGCGTTCAAGAGGATATGAAAAGGTGGCGCCCCAATGTGCGGGGTGTGATGAGAATAGGTCCAGTCTTTTCAAAAGGTCCAAACAGCCTTCTCAGAGGCCATTGAAACGCTGAAGAACAATTCACATGCATGCCATGGATGGGTTAAAAGGCTTGTGACTGGGAAAGACATTAAACTGTGGCAAATATGACCCTATAGATGCAATGGTTAAACGAACTAGGGCTGCTAATCAAATATGGGTAACAATGGAATGGCCAAAAAAACTTTATGTCCTGCGACCTTACCAATAAACTGTACAAACAATGTGCAATACTTTTTTAAGTACCGGTATACATACAAGTCAATGTAAAACAAAAGGTTTAAATGCAGTCATTCCTCATTACCTCATACCAAAGCAGCAGTCTACACGAATCCATAGGCCCATGACGTTTTTTTTAATATTAACGTTTAACTGAACATTCAAATTCATAAAACAAGCCACCATTTTGAACAAATATGAGACAAATGGTGAATTATGTATTTGCGTCTCTCATACTAGGAACGTCTATAGTGTCAGTAAGAGATGTTCCTTAAACATCCTTTGTATGTCAGAATTTTATTCTAGTTTAAAAAAATGTAATCAGATTTTGATAATACTGAAAATTAAAAAAGTTATTAAAGAAAAGGTGATCGTTGAACAATTCTGTCCGGGTTACTATGATTATGCAAGGAACTTTCTGCACGTAGGGAGTTCTCGAGATTATTGTTGTTCTTTTGCGTAATATTTTATAACTGAATGTTTACATGTACGATTGCAGGGAGGTATTAAAGCCGTTATTTGGACAGACGTCTTCCAATTCTTGATCATAATGATAGGAATGATTATCGCATTAGCAATGGTAAATCACGTACTAGGCGTTTGCCTATCATTTTTTATATTAATTGCAATTACACTTTTCGAAATATGATGGTACATTTCGGATAATTTGAATTTCATGAAGCCGAAATCTTCATTTTGTCTTTTACATATTGATCATTAATCTGTCTATCAAGTTTGAAATGAGGGAGTCTTGGGTTGTCGTTTTTTGACTACCATGAAGTAGTATCAAAAACAGCAATAATTGTTGACTCATTTTCATAAGTTTTGGTAAATTAATTATAAGTTATTGTTGTTTCAAGGGTTGCAGTCGAGTTGGAGGCTTCGCAAATATGTGGGACCTGTGTCAGAGAGGTGGAAGAATCCAGCCAATAGAGTGATTGATTATAATTTATATAATGGACGCTGGTTGACAGACATTTTAATAAATTTGAACTTATGATATACCAAATTAAAGATGAATAAATTCCCTATCCATTGGTATATAATATGACATATTATGATGTTTCCATCAAGAAAATCATAATTTATTTATGAAATACGAGTCTCCCATTTTTGGACCACCCTGCATGTATATACTGTATGGATGTTTGAGTTTGTGTTCCAGCTTTGACTTGAACCCATTGACGAGACATACCTTCTGGGGCCTCACTATTGGTGTTGGGGTAATCTTTACAAATCCGTATGGAGTAAGCCAACCTGGAGTGCAGCGTTTTTCAGCAACACGATCACTCAAAGATGCCAGACTGTAAGCAGAATTTCTGAAAAATAATTTATGTACATTAATATATATTACCTCGAGCATCCACAAAATAGCTAAGGCTAAACATAACACAATATCATACATTGTCATTTATTTCATTCGGGCATCCATAATATAGTTAAGGCTAAACCTAATACAATCTCGTTACATTGTCAATTATTCCATTGGGACATCCATAATATAACTTATGCTAAACCTAATACAACCTCGTTACATTGTCAATTATTCGATTCGGGCATACATACCATGGCTTATGTTTTACCTAATACAATCTCGTTACATTGTCAATTATTCCATCGGGCATCCATAATATAGCTTATGTTTTACTAATACAATCTCGTTACATTGTCAATTATTCCATCGGGCATCCATAATATAGCGTATGTTTTACCTAATACAATCTAGTTACATTGTAAATTATTCTATTCGGGCATTCACAATATAGTTTATGTTTGACCTAATGCAATCTCGTAACATTGTCAGTTATTCCATTCGGACATTAATAATATACCTGTTGCTAAATCTTAAACAGTCTCGTTACTTTGTAAATTTTTCCATTCGGACATCCATAATATAACTTATGCTAAACCTAATACAATCTCGTTACATTGTCAATTATTCCATTCGGGCATACATACCATGGCTTATGTTTTACCTAATACAATCTCGTTACATTGTCAATTATTCCATCGGGCATCCATAATATAGCTTATGTTTTACTAATACAATCTCGTTACATTGTCAATTATTCCATCGGGCATCCATAATATAGCTTATGTTTTACCTAATACAATCTAGTTACATTGTAAATTATTCTATTCGGGCATTCACAATATAGTTTATGTTTGACCTAATGCAATCTCGTAACATTGTCAGTTATTCCATTCGGACATTAATAATATACCTGTTGCTTAATCTTAAACAGTCTCGTTACTTTGTAAATTTTTCCATTCGGACATCCATAATATAACTTATGCTAAACCTAATACAATCTCATGCATTGTCAATTATTCCATTCGGCCATTCATAAAATAGTTACCCTGAACCTAATACAATCTCGTTTCATTGTCAATTATTCCATTTGGGCAGCCATATATAGTTAAGGCTAAACCTAATACGATCTCGTTTCATTGTCAATTTTTCCATTCGGACATCCATAATATAACTTATGCTAAACCTAATACAATCTCATGCATTGTCAATTATTCCATTCGGCCATTCATAAAATAGTTACCCTGAACCTAATACAATCTCGTTCCATTGTCAATTATTCCATTTGGGCATCCATATATAGTTAAGGCTAAACCTAATACAATCTCGTTTCATTGTCAATTATTCCATTTGGGCATCCATATATAGTTAAGGCTAAACCTAATACGATCTCGTTTCATTGTCAATTATTCCATTTAGGCATCCATAATATAACTTATGCTAAACCTAATACAATCTCATGCATTGTCAATTATTCCATTCGGGCATACATACCATGGTTTATGTTTTACCTAATACAATCTCGTTACATTGTCAATTATTCCATCGGGCATCCATAATATAGCTTATGTTTTACCTAATACAATCTCGTTACATTGTCAATTATTCCATCGGGCATTCATAATGTAGCTCATGCTTAACCTAATACAATCTCGTTACATTGTACATTGTCTATTCGGGCATAACTTAATACAATCTCGTTACATTGTCAATTTTTCCATTCGGACATCCATAATATAACTTATGCTAAAGCTTATACAATCTCGTTACATTGTCAATAATTCAATTTGGGCGTCCATAATATAGCTTATGTTTTACTAATACAATCTCGTTACATTGTCAATTATTCCATTGGGCATCCATAAAATAGCTTATGCTCAACCTAATACAATCTCGTTACATTGTACATTGTTCCATTCGGGCATCCATAATGTACCTTATGCTTAACTCAATACAATCTCGTTACCTTGTCCATTGTTCCATTCGGCATCCATAATATAGCTTAATATAGCTTATGCTTAACCTAATACAATATATCAATGCAACCGACCGATCATTTGTTCTTACAGGACCATGCTAACAGTTATTCCCGCCGTTTGTGTGATTTATGCGCTGACAGCTCTTGTAGGGCTCACGGTGTATGCCTATTACTCTCACATTCAATGTGACCCTCTGGTTATTGGAGCTGTTACTAATATAAATCAGGTAGATTTACTGCAAGGACTCGATGCGCTGAAATTTGGGGATTCATATCATTAAACTTTGTCATTAAAGCATGCATATTATGAAATATAGTTTCAATTTTTAGATATTCCCCTACTTTGTAATGGATGTACTTGCGGTTCCAGGCATACCAGGGATATTTCTTGCAGCTATGTTTAGCGCCGCATTGAGGTGATTTTTAATATTTTAAAATCATTAGTAAAGATCTTGAACTTTCGTGTCTGTGGAGTAAAGATAGGATTGACAATGTTGTAATTCTGGATGCTCTGTTCTTATTTCAATTCCTGGTCTTACGCTTTTGAAGAGATTTTATCGACAGATTTTTCGAGGTTCGTCATAATCATCTTTCTTCTGAAAATAAACCTGAAATATATTTATCAGGATATATTAACAATACGCCGTACGTTTTATAAAGACAAAAATCAATTCAGTGTTAAACTGCTATAAAGCAGACGCGTTGGCGCCACTGGGGGTCATCTAGCAACGAAGGCACGATGTCTTCGTTTCAGAATATTTTCCAAGCAATGATTTGGATCATTCTATATTCTTTGGCCTTCATCCTAGGTGATTCTCAATTTTCTCTATTTTTTCTCTATTTTGGACACATCCAGGGGACACATCGTGTTCGTGTCCAAAAACGTTCAAGTGCAATGTTTTGGGAACGAGTCTAGAATAAGATAAAAGCCCGTTTTGACTGTTTTTATTACCCGAACTGTATTTCAGTACGATATCATCACTTGTTAATTCCCTTGCTGCAAATATCTGGGAGGACGTTCTTAGAGATCGCTTTCCTAACGCAAGCCTTGCTAGGGCGACGCATATTACAAAGGGATTGGGTACGTTATATATTTCTGAATCTCGCTTATTATGGAGTCATCACATTTAAGCCATGTGGGCTTACTGTTCGCTACCGTGTGGATACTTTGGTTGGGATAAGGCATTTATACACAGTGGGCAAAACAAATAGTTTTACAGCAATCTCCCATCACACCAAATAATTATTCAATTAGTCAAGTAAAAAATTAATGCCCAAAATTAGCCAGCAGGCCACATTGTGGCGAACGGTGAGCCCGCACATCGAATGTGACAGCTACTTTAATTAAAATATAACAGTGCAGTTAAGCTGTGTCTTATGGCTCATCCCAGGGTGAAGATATGCAGGGTTGTTATATTGTTTTAAACATATATTAAAATGATTCCAATTTTGTGTTATTTTAGTGATTGTATTTGGGATTTTGTCGACTGTGATGGCGTTTGTTGCTATGAAGATTCCTGGTCAAATCTTGCAGGTACACATCCAGAAAATTTGTTTTGAGTTTCACCGTTACGTAACAATAGAAAATGCGTGTCGAATAGTTACACTATAAGGTAGATTTGCATATCTTTTAAGAAGCTAAGATCTTCAAAAGTTTTTCTCTAACATGTTCCACAAATTAGTTACTGTTCATTTTTGAACAGGCTGGATTATCACGCTTTCAAACCTAAGTAAAAAGTAACAAAATACTAAATTATATGGTCTGGTGTTTAGATATATAATTCAGTATCCTTACGTTGTAGTAAAATAGTAAGTGAAAATTATACAGTTTGGACTCTTCCACTCACAGGTCACCGTGGCATTGGGCGGAGCAGTTGGAGGGTCGGTTGTTGGGATGTATTGTCTTGGAGCCTTTACGACCAGCTGCAACTGGAAGGTAAACCAGGATGAAACATTAACAATCAAAAACAGAATAATGACAGAATAGCAAGTAAAATTTCCAAAAAGACGATACTTATATTTTTTTCTCCTAATAACCTGAATACTTAACATAACTAATAAATAAACGCTTATTGAATACGTCTGGGGTACAATATCACTGGTCCCCATCTGGTTATAAAGACGCTACTGCTTTATAACAAAATCGATGAACTTCCGTCGAAGGAAAGTTTTCCTTTCATCATTTTCACCAACAATGCAAAGAGGTTGATTTGTACCTGGTGAATTTCGTAACGTCTTGGTTGAGTTGTGTAAACGTCCTGGTTGTTGACGTGAGGAATTCTTATTCGATTATTGGAGCTGCTGGATATATTTGCTCGTGACTGACTAGCTTTTCAGTAACATGATGCTAATATTAACATATGGGTAAAACATTTGGATACAAATCCACCTTTTGTTGGTGAAAATGATGAAAATAAAAATTCCTCCGACTAGTATATAGTTTTCTTTCATTTATATATTTACGGACTTTCTGCAAGTTTGTTATTTGATCGACCATATAAAAGTGGGAGACTATATTTATTCTGTTCATTTATTTTTTTCAGGGAGTAACAGCTGGAGGATGGGTCGGTTTTGCTTTCTTATTGTGGATCGCTTTGGGGGCGTTCACGATCAAATCCACGAAACACATCCTTCCCCCGGCGTCAACTAACGGATGCTATGTTAAAAACGTCAGCGAACTCTTTAATGAAACTAGTACAACGCCATATTCAACCAATGAATATCAGATTGGCTTCTCCAATTCAAGCACTGTTTCGCCTGTACCAGCGGTCGAGGAGTAAGACGCCACTTATATATATTATCTACGACTTATAATTACTAAATGGCTTTGGCCCAATTTGCTTGAATTAATTCTTATTCTCCCAAAGTATAATCTTTATGTATGTAAAACGTATTCATTACATTCTTAGCCCTAATGTATGCAATTATCAATTTGAACGTGAATCGTAAAAATGTCGTTTCTAGAAAAGGATTACCTTTTGATTTATCTTTCATGCATGTACAATATTACATTTTCAAGGGGACACTTGGACAAGTTTTACTCAATTTCTTACACCTGGTATGGCTTGATAGGACTCATTGTGACGTTTACAGTAGGGATGCTCGTAAGCTTGGTGACAGGTATTACCAGTATTTCATTAAACAGATAACAAAACTAGGCAACGGGTAATCAGTGTTTCAAACAGTCAAGGCAAAACGGGTAATACTAATGTTGGTATTATAAATAGTACCGTGGGTACTTGGCTCACAGGGTGTTGCTCAAAAGTGAATGATGGCTAAAATGGCTAAAAACGGATATGATTACTACTCTTTACAGTGACATGGCTTTTTGCAATGCAGGACACCTTAAATTATTCTTAAGCTAGGAAAAGGGCCAACAATGAATTTCGCGAGACAAAAATGGTGACCATTTTGAAAATAGGCAAGCTTTTGAACCAGGAGTCACAGGGGATTTTTCTGTACTGATGTTGAACAAAAATAACTTAAAACAGGACACCTATCGACAGAAGTTTTAAGGCAAATGGTCCAAAAGCGGATTTCGTGAGACAGATGGACAAATCAATGTTAACTAAAATGGCTGTAAATGAAAAAAAAACGGATACAATTTTTGCCGATTTTTAGTAACAAAAATATTTCATACATGACATGGCTTTGTACAAAGTAGGACATCTGAAATTATTAGTAAAGCTAGGGAATGGGCTAAAAGTGAATTTCGCAAGACAAAAATGGCGACCATTTTGAAATTAGGCAGCTTTTAAACCAGGAGTCATAGGGGGGGGGGGGGGGGTCTAAATTGATTTTGAACAAAAATAACTCAAAACATATCCTATTGACAGAGGTTTTAAAACGGGCCAATTATTGACAGACGGACGCGGACGGACAGACAGACAGACAGACGCACAAGTGAGTGATTGCAATAGCTCATCACGTGAGCTAAAAATCGCATGTATCTAGGATGAAGAATTAGAAAAGATTCATCCTCGGTAGTATCAGTGTTTCTTTTAAGTTCATTTTTTCTGTTTATTCGCCATGCTTTCTGATTTACAAATAAACTTTTGTCAAATCACTTTTCTAAACATGATATTATTCTACTTTATCTTTGTCAATAGATATTCGATGTCGTCAGTTTCCTGTCTCTCCTTTCATGGCTTGTCATATGCATATGTTTGTAGGTTTTAGTGATAAAGACGATGTTGATGAGGAGACATATATTAAATGGCCAGATTTGCTGTTCTGCTGTCTCCCCGAGTCGTACAGGGTGGGGTTATGGAGAAAAATTACAGTAAGCAGTACATACACTCTATCAATTAAAATGAATTCTTGCTTGTAGTCCATGATCTGATTTTTCTAAGAGCTCTATTTAAGGAGTTTGTTGTCCGGGTGTCCGCCACAAAAACCAACTACTGCATAATATTCCTATATATATATATTCTCTACACTGAGTTATGTTCCATTTTTCGTGTAAGTGTGGCATGGGAATATCATCATATTCCTAAGTCATCAAATATATTTATTTGGGTAACGTTTTTGACACCCTGTACCTTTTATACATGTCACATTACCTTCTTTGAAGCATTTGACAAGTGTTTTATTACTAAATGTATTCACACCAAAACACTGCGCCACGCAGATTTTTTATTACCATTGCAGACATTTGCATCCTGTGAGAACCATCTTTTTGACATTTTCGAAATCCTATATTATCTTGTTAATCAAAAGTATTTACTTTTTATCAAAGTTATATCATACTTGAACTGCAGCTATGTGGTAAAAAGTCAAAAATACATTGTAAAAAGGCAACCTTGTGTGACCCCATTTTATAGGCAAAAGCCCCTGTTACAATCAAAACTAAATATGTTTTCTTAATAGGGAAGTCAATCTTTGAAACGGTATGTTCATTTTTTGTGGCGAAATTCCGGACAACAACTCTTAATTTTTCTTGGGGCAGGTTTGAGACTATTGGTACCTTAAGATAAAAGCTATATTGGCCTTTCCATATTTTAGTGGACTTTCCTATTAATAAAAGTGATTAATGCCCATTTTCTCAATAAATATGCAATATTAATAGGGTGGTTCAAAGAGACCACAAAGACATGATTTTATATTAACCAACCATCATGGTAAAGTGTCAACCGTGTATTATCTAATTATAGTAGTCACTTTCCAAATTCGTCTCGCCCTCGTGTCACTTAAAATGTTCATGCTGCTTGTTAGGGCTCACGAAATCTTGATAACAAGGATGGAGATGCTAGGGAGAATGCAGAGCCTGTTGAAATGGAGAGTCTGATGGTAAAAAATGGAATGAAGACTTAGAACCAAGCAAAAGGAACTGAGCGAGCCTAAAGGACATGGGGCACAAACATTTTGATACAATTTTTAAAGTAGACTCTGAAGTGTGATTAAGGACTGACAATAGATGACGAAGAACATGGGACACATACTTTTTGATACAAGTTTTAAAGGAGACTCTGAAGTGTCATTAAGGGCTTACAATAGATGGCGAATAACATGGGACACATACAGTATGATATAATTTTGAAAGGAGACTCTATTTAGAGTGTCATTAAGGGCTTACAATAGATGGCGAAGAACATGGGACACATACATTATGATACAATTTTGAAAGGAGACTCTATTTAGAGTGTCATTGTGGAGCAGTTGGGGGGGGGGGGGCATTGTTGAAATGCATTGTCACGAGAATTTACAAGGAGCTGCAACTGGGAGGTAAACTAATCAAGATGAAACATAGGGAGGTTAGGTCACACGTTTATAAGAGAACATTCACGCAAGCGTGTAATTAATATTTTGACCCCAGAGTATACTGTTTATCTCTCAATTCATTAATCTCAGTCCCAGGGACCTATTTACAATTATTTTAGTAAACACTACAAATGGGAGAAATAATCCATAGAAGACCATAATTCTACACGTTCACGTACGTAACTTAACCTCCCTATTAACATTGAATGTCACAGCAGACAAAAAAGTTTGTTGGCAATTTTGAATGTTATAAAGGAGGAGGGACAGTATCGCAACAGATTTCGGACAGTCATATGTTGGAATTTAGCTATTTTCTGAGGATTTAAACAAGTGCATATGTTAGGTCAATGCATTACCTCAAGGAAAAGCACTCATAGAGATGATAAAATAATTTCGACTTTGAGACGGGGAAGATGCAACCCACCACATGTTTTTTCTGAAGTGTTGTTCTGTTTTTCAACCTATTTCACCCCTGCTTTTTTAATTTTTCTTGCATCAATATGTTGCGTTTTGACACACAGTAGGCCCTTTTAAAGGCTTCCTAGTCAACTCGTACCCAAGACAACTCGTACCCAAGACAACTCGTACCCAAGACAACTCGTACCCAAGACAACTCGTACCCAAGCTTATTTTCAGTATTATGGGTGCATATTAGGAATGAAATTGTGTTTGTAATGCTTTCATGTTATAAGGTGAATCAAATAAGGCTCAATATTTTTTTGAATTTAGACAACATTTTTTCTCAATGGATCAGTAAAGCATTTTGTTTATTAAATAAAAGAAGTGCTTGAAGCGCTTGTTCTCAAAATTTTTTTGTCAAACATATATATAAATAAATATAATTACAACGTTAGATCTGACACTTGTTCCAAACACTCATAAACATACAATATTTTGAAAAATGATTATAAACATATGTCTCTTCACTTGAACATCCTGAATCTGTGACCAATATAAAATAATAGTCAATATAAATTGACACTCAGCTCAAAATGTCATAAAATTAAATCAATTTCTTCCGAAAATTCTTCTTCAAACTTTAAACTATTCTGAACAGTATGTTACAATTATAATATGTATAGCTATTCACATTCCCAGTCCAATGCTTGATTCAAAACAAAATATATACTTGGGTACGAGTTGACCAGTTACCTTTTAAAGGAATAAGTGATTCCTTCGGGGGTTTTAAAGGTATCCATTATGGTTGACCAAAATTAGCTGAAAGCTGATCGCATGAGTTTCTGCAATGGGAAAATAATATGGGAAATATTGTTTTCCACTTTATCTAAAAGGGGTAACTGTGTGTCAAATCACAACATATTGTTGCAAGAAAAATTAAAAAAGCAGGGGTGAAAGGGGTTGAAAATCAGGAAAACATTTCAGACGAAACATGTGGGTGGGTTGTTTGCATCTTTCCTGTCTCAAAGTCGAAATTATATTATCATCTATAGGAGTGCTTTTCCTGTAGGTTATGCATTGGTCTTACATATGCACCTGTTTAAATCCTCAGGAAATCCAACATTATGACTGTCCGAAATCTTGCGATACTTTCTCTCCTCCTATTACACATTGAATTACTTTCCTGTCATGTTACTGGTAGATGAGAAAAAGTCAATAAATTATCACTTCACTAACCTCATATATCTTAACTATATGTAAGGTTTATTCCCTTGGCTAGGGGGATTTCAGATGTATCATGTTGAAATTGATTATATGTTCAATACGACCAAACCATGGTGGATATAATATGTTACTACATGCACTAGTTTTTCTTTGACATCTACTAAAAATTTACTGAGAATTTTCAACAGGAAGTGTGAAGTTGTCTGGTTTAGATTATCACAAATACATTTCGGCAACCCGTTCAAAATTAGGTGCATGAAGATGAGCTTGCAAGAGAAGTCCAGACCTAATAAAGACGGTTAAAAGGAATTTCTAAATAACGAGGCATGGCATTTAGTTTTGAAGTTGATAAGATAGAAGCGGGGCTTCCACTACCTCTTACTATTATTTAAATCTTGAAATTGGCTGACCAATTGGTGAAAAGTTATTCCAAAGAGCAACTCCATTGAAAATTGTTGATTTCTTAGCCAAAGCACTTGTTTGGAGGGGAATCTTATAACCCCTGTGACTCCTTAATGATCGCACTTGAATGTCGTTCTCGAAAGATCTGACAAGATTACAAATGAAAGGAGGAAAGCTGTTACATCTTGCTATATATATTTTTATCTTACTGTTCTGTCAGATGATGCAAAATGTAGCACATATTTATTATTTATTCACTTACATGGTTGTGTTATGTGGGTGGAAGTAGCATCAGAGGAATGAATCAGAGGAACTTGATCAGAACATGTTCTGGTATCTATTAAATAGGAGCCGAAAGAATTGTAATCCCAAATCTAATTTAATCAGAAACGATAATGGAGATATCCTCTCGGATCCAAGCGAAATATGCATGGAATGGAAAAGTTATTTTGAAGAGGAACTTGATCAGAACATGTTCTGGTATCTATTAAATAGGAGCCGAAAGAATTGTAATCCCAAATCTAATTTAATCAGAAACGATAATGGAGATATCCTCTCGGATCCAAGAGAAATATGCATGGAATGGAAAAGTTATTTTGAAAAGTTAGCCACTCCGTCAAATCCTGGTAGTTATGATGACGATTTTTATCAACGAGTGAACAATGAAATATTAGAAATGAAAACAATTTCAAATTTACAAGAAAACGTGTTTTTAAACGACCCCATTACAAAGAGTGAAATTATTACAGCAATACATCAGTTAAATCTAAATAAAGCTGCTGGAGATGACGGTATATCTGCTGAACATTTAAGGTACGGTGGCCCAGCCGTTATCGATTTTGTTCACCTAATTTTCCAACATATTGTCAGAAATGAATATACGCAATCTTTATTTCGTACTGGAATACTAATTCCACTTTTGAAAGGTGGCAAACGCGATCCTTTAGAAAAAGATGACCACCGTGGGATTACGCTTATGACGTCACTCAGAAAAACGTTTGATATCTTCTTGTTAAACAGAAGTAAGCCGGAAATTCTTAAACATATTCCCCAACTGCAGGGCGCATCTCTGAAATCATGCTCCTCTGTCCACTCTTACAGGTTAGCACAAGAGGCAATAACCCATAACGTGGAATCAGGACGTAACGTCTACGTCACAACAATCGATATCCGTAAAGCTTTTGACGGTGTATGGATTAACGGGCTGTTCTTCAAGTTATATAACATTGGAATCTGTGGCAAATTATGGTGCATCCTTTTTGATTCCTACAATACATATAAATGCAAAGTACGTATAGGGGAACAGTTTTCTGATACTTTCGACGTTCGACGGGGGTCCACCAGGGCGGAATTTATAGTATGCTTCTCTACCAGCTTTACAGTGCTGACGTCATAGAGGAACTTAGTGGTATGCATATCGGTGCCAAGATTAATGATATTGATGTGACATGTCCGGCGTATGCAGACGATATGACAATCATGGCCACATATATTAATAGTATGAATATTCTTTTAAACGCGGTATACAAGCATAGCCTCAAGTGGAGATATGATATACACCCTGGAAAATGCAAAACCCTGACATTTGGAAAGAAAAGAGGAAATCATACAAATGACGTCATGATCAATGATATTCCAGTACAAACAACAAATAGCACAATTTACCTCGGCCTGCCAATTACAAATAATTCTACGTCGGTTCCCAATACGTTACTGATAGTATTAACAAGGGATTACGTATACTAGCTTTAACTCTCCAATTTTTGAAGTGACTGCTGTCCATCTCCCTTGATTAATACAAATGTAGACGAACTGTTGCAATTGAGCCATTATATTTTCCTGTGAAGTACAAAAAAGTATATTAATGTATCTGCTAGTTGATGACCTAATCTGCTGAGTTTAATGCAAATAAGTGCGAAAATTCAGAATGGTCGCCAAAAGTAGAAAGGAGCAGGGAAAGTATCGCAACAGACTTTTGATAATTTTGACAGTTGATAATTTTTTTGTGAGTAGTTTCTGGCTGTAAAAAGTAAATGCTTGGGAAAGGCGAATCTATAATCTTCAAGAAAAGTTCAAAGAATAGTTTCCAGATCAATTGGATTATCTTATAATCCATGTTTAATCCACCCATCAACAAGCTTTTTCAAAATACATTCGTCATTTTCACTATCGTCCCTCATTTTTTTTACAATTTTTCATGCAAAGTTACATTGTACTTGAACACATGTTTCATCAAGTAAAATATGCAAGGAACTCCATGAAGTTTGTTTTTGAGTTTTTTTTGAAAAAATGAACCTCTTAAAATGCATGTTTACAAAAATAATTTAGGAGTGATGTAAAAGATGGCAATGTTTTTCAATAATAACATGCATAGGTGGGTGAATTACTCATGTGTGTTGTGTTTTAATCCTGCATTCACTGACTGAGTTAGCCTATTGAAAAATCGTAGAGATTAATAATACAAACAGTAATACTATGAATACTTCTACTTCAAGCTCAAATAGCGCTTTCAGGGTCC